AAGGCTGCAATGCCTGCCCTTGTTATGTGCTTGCTTCCTACCCACCTTGTTTGCCTTAACGTCGTTGCTGCTGGATATGCAGTGGATTTGACGAAATGGATAAATAATGATTGGGTTTTGCAAGGGTCAGGACAATGTAGTCTTTTAGCGGGCCTGCAGCCTCACTCTATCCCTTATGATAATTCCCCCAACTAGTATTGCGATGTTTAAGGAAAAGTGTGTGTGGTCAGAAGTTGCCGGATGTTCCGCCAACTAAGGAAGCTGGTCCACGTAAAATGGTCCAAGCACTGTTGAGGTAGTCTGTAAGTCTCTCTGTCGTTGGTACCATTACGGCAGCAACAAACAGCTAATAGTACACTCATCAATCCTCGTCTTGGGAGAGGGTGTCGTAGAATCCCATGAGGAGCATCAAATGGTGTCTCATATGCCTGGGCACCTCTGACCCCAAAAGTTGTAGAAGACAATCGACCATACAGAATACGCCACAAATGCACGATAACGCTGCATATAGTTGTTTGGGCCATTTGGCTCCTGTTCATCTATCTTACGCTGTAACCACTGCATTCTGTTGGCTGTAACATTTATGTAGTCATCCCTACTTCTTACCAACACCAATTCACACATTTTAAATAGATGACAAGCGGAGGAGAAGAAAGATGAGGCGTGAAAACAAGCTGTTGCACAAATGAACGCGCTGAATATATAAGGTGGCAATTGCATTACAGAGGTCGGCAGCTGCCGAGAACACCGCATCTCCTACCGGCCCAGTCCACTGGAGTAATGAGAAAGAAAAGCCGACGCGTGCGATAGCAGACAATAATTAATTTTTCAATTTCAATGCAGGAGAGAAACAGTTGGCAGCAGAACGCAGATGCAGTTTATACAAGGGCTCGTGGAGTGCTGAGTGCTCGTGCGCCCGCGGCATGCTGTGATTTTTTGGCTCAGGCGGCTCGATTGACCAACAGGCCTTAGTCCCTGTTAGAGGATGGTGTCGGGACTGCCTAGACGTGAGACTCCAACAAAAGTACAAGGGCGAGTGCCATGAGACAGTTTAGGCGTTTCGAAACGTGGAAGGTGAATGCTGTTCGATGGATGTTTTATCTTTTCCCCGAGTTCATGTCCGTTGTTGGCTGCCACTTGATTACACCCTACAGTTCTCTCACGAGGGATATTTGCCCCCGTGTTCCTCACCAACTCAGGCGGTCTGAGCACCGAATAAGGAGGATGAGACAATTGCTCTAGTGGCTACATTGCGGCCAGGCAACCGCTGACCCAAGCGGCTCGCGATCCGCCCGGTTGCCACATCCGGCGAGAATTTAGAGTTCGTCAAACTTGAAGGTGTGGACGGGTGCGCTGAATGGGTCGGGATCTGAGCCTTGTTGTCATTTATCCTCACTGTTTATGTGTATCAGATCATTCATTTCCAGACGAATCTTTCTATTCTTCGGAAGCAGTTGATTTCCCGGCAAGCACACCAGGTTCATTAAAAAATCCAGACATTTGCTTCAGTAACAGTGGTCGTTTGTCAATTGATGCTTGTCTTCGGCCTGTGGCCCCCGATGGCGGTTGCTACGGAGGTTCATTGTTCGCATGCTGTTCGTTGTTTGCATTAACACTTTCAGTTTGAAGCTCCTACAATCTCAGCGTCCAAAGAGGACACCAAAGAAGGTCATCTAGTGGTTGTCTTTCACCCCCCGTCCCCACAGTGAATTGAACAGAGCGTGGCCTATTTCATGAAGTGTTGGCTGAAATTTTGAAATGCGTTCTCAAATAAGAAAGATTACTTAGGTGGCGTTTAAAGATTAATTACCACGGGGCATAATCCCGTAGTATTGCGCACTCACCAGAATGTTGTCTTCTGAATACACTTCTCCTCGACTGACTGCAGAAACAGCACCCTGTAAGAAACGACGACTTATATACTATTCATGTTTCACATTGACTTTCGATGGTCTTATAAATTTTAATAAATTTTATGGAAAGTATGCATAAAAATAAACTCTTTTGCTTACTTGATAGCAAATCGCGTCATCATCTGATCTTATACTCGAAAGGTATACATGGGTTTTGAAGAATTTTCTATTTGTCGAATAATTTTGACACATATCAACCGTTGCATTAGCGTTTCCGGCCTTCATTCTACAGTGGTTATACTTTCCGCGAAAGGTGGATCACATATTCCACTACGCCTTTAAGAAAATTCCGTGCAGAATTTATAGAATCTTTCAATGGATAAAAACTATATTGCATGCCTCGTGAGGAGCATAAATAAACATAGACGTACGATGCAGTATGAATGGACCTTGCGAAGTCTTAAAAATCCCCTAATTTGAAACATTTTAAAACCGAAATGTACTATTTCTTCAAGCACAAAGTCTGAAGACGAAGTGATTTGCCATGAACTGAGCTAAAAATGCAAATTTTATGCACAGTTTCCATAAAATCATTGTGGAACAGACATACAAAATAAGTAGTTCTTTTTTACAGGGTGCGGTTTTTACAGGCGGTAGAAGAGAACGAATTCAAAAAAACAACACCCTGGCGAGTCTGCAATATTATAGGATTATGCTCTAAATCGCCTTTCTGTTTAATCTGGGTGTTCTGCTAGCTCTGGCTGTCAGGTCAGCTTTTTCTACCCAACTCTGTTTGATTCAACCGTCTGAACAGTCAGAAACGCACACTAGTTAATTTTCTCGGAGGCAGGCCATTTGAATTGCTAGTAACAAATGTGTCTGCAAACTGGTTTTTGCCGATCGCACAAACGCTTGGCCTCATGACTAGAGCAACGGGTTTCAACGACTCTTTCTGTCTAAAAATTTGTTGTTTAAAAAGTTGCTAAGTTGGACATGGAAAGTCGTTGAGAGACAGTGCTGACAGCTTGACATTCACGTGCGGAAGTTTAAGTTTCTGACTTGCTGTAAGCTCTTGCGTGGTTTGCGCGCATTTACATTGCCGACATTTTTAAAAATTCTCATCCCCTACATCTCATTTCGTATGGGGTGACGATCATCCACTTTTTCGTTATATTTAGTTAGACCTGAACTAGCCAAGCGTAGGTGAATTTGTCACTTCGAACTCTCCTGATTTATTCTATCTATAGTCCCCTAATTGCTTATACACTGGTTTCGTTGTTTTGTACTAACCATGATCTCCATAAAGAAACAAAATCGACCATGACGGTCCTGAGAACCTACTAAATCACCAAAGAATGGACATGCAGGTAGCCTGCAAGTGAGGCTATCTGTCCGGCGCAATCAGAGGCCGTCTTGACTGCCAATCCTCTCGTCTCTTCACGAACCAAACAAAGGCTTGGTCCTTTAAGGTCAGTCATGTTCCCGTTAATGGACCTCTCTTCACTTTCTCCGAAACCCAGCCGATCTCCTGCTCCTTCGCCTCAGCTTAATAGATGTGCACTCTAAATATGGCTTTTCACATTACTCTCTGTCTAGTAAAATTTAATTAGCATAATCCTTCACTCTTCTGCGTAATTCCTGAAGTCGCTTTCGGGGTCTAGATACGTGTTATTCACTTTCTCGTCGTTTTTAAAATCTTCTTATTGAGCGCTTCTGACTGAGCCCTTTACGAGCGGTTGTTTAGGATCTTCGCTACCTCTATAAATGGAAGCCAGTCTCATTTATTATGACTCACTTAGGAAACCGGCGATTATTTTTTTCCAAACCGATTGCTAAAACCTCATATGCTAAGTGTATGACCGGTCTGGTTTGCCTAATCTAGATTCTGGGTGGTCCCGTGTGGGGCTATCTGACAACATCTCCGGTTGCGGTGCACCATACTGTCACAACTCCACTAACGAACTAAACGGATTTAAGTGGATTTCTTGATACCGCATATTTACCCTGCGAGAATGGAGGAAAAATGGATCTGAGCTTTATTTTTGTATTAAGGCAACTTATGATTCAGCCGAAAAATACAAGGGACTCCCAAGCATTATGAAATGATAGACCAGTTGTCTGGTTTTCTCTGTCTCAAGTTTTAATGTTTTATGTATGGTTGTCCTACGGTTTAGCCACAGTTAAGGGGCAAGAGAATCAGAAATTATGATTGAATAGAAGATCTGCTAAAGAAAAAAATTTGGATCGTGTTGTCCTATGTCTTCGTTAATTACAGATTTATCAGAAAGTGGTTATTAAAATGCCTTAATCTGGTGAAAACTATAGTGAAATCGGACTCCAATAAACCAGAACGTTCTAAGCCGACTGAGATAGCCGAGTGCAAGGCGAACGTATAAACATGTAGGATAGCAAACTACTGTCGTTAAACCTTTAATGTTTTGACCGTATTTGCTTTTAATAGTCAAACTTTTAGGAAGTTAACTCCATATCATCTGAGCAAATGGTCCGAATTTCTTGTATCCGTTCCTAAATGACGTGACTTCGCATTTGGGCTCATCCGAACTTCCTTACCTGCTCTGCATTCACTCTGATATTCAATGCGATGGAATTATGGGGACCAATTTTCCATGTATCCTCGAACGACTTTGTCCCCCAACGTCTCAGTCTACGACGCCCACTATTCCCCTCTGTTTCTGTCATTTCGCCGATCATCCCCCGGCTTGTGGTCCACTTTGTCCCTCCTTTTCCAAGTCTTCGTGCCTGTTACGTTTGACCTCTAATTCTGCGGACTTCTTCTATGGGCAGGTGGATGTTGGTGTCGGCTTCATTCATCAGAATGCAGCTGGTGTTTCATAGACATTGAACGATTATGTCGAACGAACTTATTGAGCATACAGAATACTGGATTATTACTACAGCCCTTCCTAGAAATTTGAATGTACCTGGCTTAAATATGAGAAGGCTTAAAGTCGCCCTATTTGAACATTCGACAGGTACTTAGAGCAACTATTTATACACGCAATTGTTTGAACTAGACGACAAGGAAAACAACATTGGGTCCACATTTTACAAACGCTGACATGCGCCATGAACGTATCGGAAGCCACATCTCTTGAATTTGCGTCACATAAAGACCGGAATTAACTGTCAAGATGAAAAAGACCGCCGCTGCTGCTGCTGCTGCTGCTGCTGCTGCTGCTGCTGCTGCTGCTGCTGCTGCTGCTGCTGCTGCTGCTGCTGCTGCTGCTGCTGCTGCTGCTGCAGGAAACGTCTGGAGTGTTTAGCGAGCTTGGTGTAATTGCCAGCAAAGCTACTGCTTCCGAGGGATGGGAAAATTAACGTGAAAGCGGATAGCCAGGCAGTGAGGAAAAATGAAGACGGGTCATGCGAATGCATTAGACACATCTTCAATTTGACGAGCTCGAAATCTTCGCCAGATTTGGCAACCGTATGTGTCACGAGATGTCTGCGTCGTGGTTCTCAGACCCGCGGTAAATTAGCATACGCTGTTATTCATGTATCCCCGTTCAGACCTTTTAATTTTCGTGGAGTGTTCGAGCAAGTGCTTGCCCGGTAACCACGCTGGTCAGCCAAAGCAGGAAAGTTGTATCGTGTCAGACACCGACGGGGAGCTTAGGTCCAGACGACTGAAGACTTGGATGTGAGTGAGTAGGCAATCGCGACGGCAAGTCAGAATATTTTTCTTGGAGTCAAGCCTCCTACCATTTGATTGATATGATCCGATATGGTCGATTGAGTTCGGAACATTGCGGGTGTGCATTTCAGTTCTTTGCTGTTCCAAGACTGATATATAACTGGCTGATAACATCAAAGTAGCCACTCTGTCCTTAGTATTATTTTGTTGAAAAGATGCTGTCGGAAGTGTTTTGTTCTGCCAGGTGCTGTATGACCATCTTGAAGTGGCCTATGGAGCAGTACAAAACATCTCATGTTCCTTTTTAGATGTTATAATGATCTTGTTTGCAAACTGCAAAAACATAAAACACATACTATTTACTAAATAGCCGATCTGTAACTGCATCAAATCTGCGTGAAACCTCTTTAACCAGTCGTTATTTTAGTCCACGCAGTACACCAGCAGACTTTGAACGTTTTGGGCCCATTAAAAGTTTACATATAAAAAGGTATTAACAGACAATCGCAATGTCTTCATTCTCTTTATCTCAATTAGACTTCATATTTTAATTACTCTGGTATGCTATTGTCTGTATGAGGCAGGTTTTGTCGAGGCGACTTGGCGCCGTATACAAGTGTTCTTTCCTCTCAAAACATACGGCCTTAAGTGTACTAAGCCGTTCGTTATGCTACTCGATTATCTGGCGGCGGACCCAATTCGTTAGCATTTATATCGTGAAAAAACCTTATTTGCATGTGATTGTTATTTTTGCTTTTTTATAATATGCTGGTTTGTCATATGAGCCTTCCATTCACCTTAACTACTTGACCCCTCTTCAGCCAAACAAAAACAAAACATATGGTCTTATTAACTTTTCCATAGTATGGATTCAAAACACAAAGATGTATCCTACGAATGAGTACGCTTAAGGTTTGTGATTAACGTACACCTAGTTTACTGACCTACTGTAAGACATTGGTCTGTGTGTTGCTCTCGACGGCAGAGATTAAAAAGGAAAGCATACGAATGATTCGAAAATAGTTTTATAAATCAGACCCCATACAAACAATGTGGTATTTTCTGGTTTAAGCTGAGCATAGATAAACTTAGCAACTGCCTATAAAACCGACTGATAACTTTTGAATGCGCGCAAACATCCGTCTTTCAAATACAGGCATCTGAAATCATCAGAAGATAAAAAGTGTCAAAGCATAATCCGAATGATTTTTTATCATCCAATAAGCAGCTCTGGCGTTGTTACTGTTTTAAAAGGTGAAAATCCTTAACAGACGGTGTCGGGGCCTTCATTTTGGCTCATCCTTAAATGCCCCTTGCTTATGGAGGTAACGTATTGTGCCTTGGACCACGAAATGCCGCTCACTAGATCAGCTGCGTCACGCCGAGCAAGATTAGCCTAAATGCAGGCCTAAATGCAATACCAGGCAGGACCAAACTGATAGCTGAACCTGGAACAGTTGGTCATCGACTGTTTACGCGCAAACTGTCTACTTATTGAGTTGAGTAACTATGTCCTTTCCATTGCTGCTGCAATTAGTCAAATGAGCGTAGACTTGGGCTTTAACTATCCAAGTGTATAAAGGAACCTGATAATAACCGGTCTCATAGGGACAACAGATATCACTGAAATAGAAAGAAATGTGACGAGGAGATTAAAGTGAACATTTAGGGCTTATTCACCATCTTCAACTGGTAGTATAGGGTAATAAAGTAGGTGCATTATCGTTCCGCAGATAGGACGGCTAGTTGTAATGTCGAGGAAGAATTGGCTTCTAGGCCCGCATATTTTTGGTGTCAGTTTGATTTGTGTGATTGCAAAAGCAACAACGGCCTGCACGCATTGCATCGGAGGCCTCCTCAATTTGGATGAACGACAGATCTAGCATACAAGGGTGAGTTAGCAGCAGAGCAATCTGTTCTTTGCTGTGACTCGTGTGCCTCCAACGTGCATTACGCGTCTGTGAGAATAGCCACAAGTGAAATTATCATTAATTGACGGGTGAAAATGAGACCACTTTTGTGTTTGATAACACCACGGCACTGATTTTTTTCGAGGAAGTAATGAGTCGATGTTTTCTAGTTTTCAGATATTTTCATGCGATACTACGGCATATTTTAATATTTATAAGGCAATATTTTGTTTGATTTCGCTGTTTCTTTGCGTTCTTTTTAGTTTCGTTTAAGTAGGCATTTTCCATCTCGCTCATGAATTAACCGATGCTATTTTTACCTCGGCAACTGATGTTGGCTTACTTAAATAAGCTATTTTACGTCTTTCCTGCAATTTTTGCTTCCGAAATCCCCCATAAAACGGTTTTAGCCCAAAATGCCAATAGGTTCTGACAAAGTCTAACCCCTCAGTGTGCTCGGATACTCCTCTCAGCTAGGTAAGACGGAACCCTGCCGTATAGCTTCAAAAATGATTCCATCACTTTATTTAGTTAAATAAATGTCGTCATTCAAGACTAAGCTGAAATATTTGTGACAGCTAGTAAGCTAGTCTAGCACACGTATTCTGACGTAAAAGAAATAAATAATAGTGTAGGCCAAGCTAGTATAAGGCTCGTTAACTCAGGATTTGATGAATATACATTGCTGCCCTAGAGGATTTTTAGAAAATATTTGTTTGATATAGGCTAAAATGATTGAACCCAACGTGCTTCCGTTACAATGCTTGCTGACACTTCTGACATGCAACTTTGCATGTAAACATTTAGAGTCCATCAGGAGAAACAAACCGTTGACACAAATATAATTGAATTGTCTAAGCTCAGCGAATATCCCCATGTTACAATTGAAAAGTCAAATTGGCGAACACGTGTTTTCGGTAACTCTTCATCAGGCCAAAACGGTTACAATGAAGTTTAAGTTATGCGAATTACATGACTTATAAATGATTCGGGGACAATTAAAATCGATCGTTCCCACGCCACTCGCATGACGAGGCGTGCTATGGCGTGGTCGGCGTGTCGTGGTCATTGGGTTCAGGGGGCGAGGAAGAGGGGGGGCATAGTCTGTGAGTACGTCGGGTACCTTGTGCACACACCCTGACATCAGGAGGTTGGGGCGACGTTGGGGTCGGCGTCGGCCACGGAAGACAGAGCGCCTGTGTCAGAGTCTTCTGACAGCATAGCACTGGATTGCCTAGCCGTATAGCCACTGCCTCAGCTGTAGCTAGCACCCGTTGGCGTAGGCCTTTGGAGAAGCCTGCTGGTGTCCGGTAGACAATCTGAAAGGCTTCTTTGGCATCGACTCGGTGATTCGTATCGACAAGATGTGCGAGAATAGAACTCGAGATCGATTTCTTCTCACCTTTGCCTAGCCAGGCCGGTATGTGTTCACGTTCTCTCTTTTCCAAGCGCCTCGTTGTACGGCCAATGTATCCCGCTCCATAGGAGCAAGTGAATGAATAAATACACATCGATGTGGCCTGCAACGGGAGTCGGTCTTTACCTCCCAAGCGTAGGAGGGGAGAGTTAGTGAAACACACACGTAAGTTCGCTGCGGGGAAAGCGCTACTGATCGCTGTCTTCAGACGTCTTTTTACTAGTTCACTTGCTGCGTCCCCTTGAAAAGGCAATCTTATAAATAAATCTTTCTTTTCTGCAGTTGCCATGGTAGGCTTTGCAGTGCGCTCCCCTATATTTCGAAGGATAAATCTTTCTGGGTATCCGTTTTCGTGGAGTGTATCCCGCAGCTGCTGGAGTTCTGCCTCCACAGTCTCAGGAGAGCAGATACGTCGCACTCTAGCTGCCAATCCCTGGACCAAGTTGCGTTTAATATTAAGAGGAACGAAACTGTGAAAGTTAATGTATTGTCCCGTCCAGGTTTTCTTTCGGAATACTCTACGTTGAATAGACCCGTCCTCTTGTCTGTGCAGAAGAACGTCGAGGAACGCGATTTCATTGTTTGCCTCAAACTCTGCAGAGAACGTTAGCGAGGGCTGTGAATTGTTAAATTTTTGAATCAGGACGTCTGTGTCGGTGGTAACATCCGTCAGGCAGAAGATATCGTCCACGTACCGACCGTAGAAGCTGAGGTTATTAATTGTGTCTTGTAAACTTCTCATCTCGACTTTGCCCATGAAGACCTTTGCGAGGAATGGGCCGAGCGGTGAGCCCATCGCTACGCCGTCCATTTGCCTGTACAATTGACCATTGCAGAGAAACTGGACGTTTTGCGTGCACCGTGTCAGTAGCTCTTTTAGCGTCTCCAACGGCATGCCTAACGGGTAGTTCGTGTCGCGGATAACGTCACAAAGGTAGTTTATTGTTTCGGCTACGGGTACATTGGTAAACAATGATGCTACGTCTAAAGATAGCATCCTCCGTCCGTCAACGTTAATATCCTTTATCGCCTCGACAAACTCGAAGGTGTCCTTCAGACTTAGGGGATACAAATGACTTTGCAGCGGTTTAAGCTTTTCGACTAGCCACTTTGCTATGGTGTGATAGGGCGAATTCCTCATATCCAGGATCGGACGTAGGGGTAGTCCGCGTTTGTGCATTTTTGGAAGGCCGTACATTCTGGGTATGGCCGTGCCCACTGGTCTTAGTCGCTCATATTCTTTGTCAGATAAATGACCTTCTTTGTGGAGAACTTTGAGGACCGCCGTCAGTTGACCTTCAACGGCCTCGGTGCGGTCGCTGTCTTGCTCGGATTTCGAGAATTTGGTACGATCCGACAAGATTGCTTCTAGTTTTTCTACGTACTCTTTTCTATCCATCAGTACGTGAACACATACCGGCCT